CCCCCGGCGCCCGGCCCCCTCCCCGCCGGCGCGCCTCTCTCCCGCCCCGGCGCTCCCCCCGCCGCAGCTCACCCTCTCTCCACCTCTGTCCCCATCTTATTTTCCAGAAATCCGTGCGGCCTCCTTCCTGGGTGCCGGGAGCTCTTCAAACTGTTCCCGGTCTCTGTGGCCTCCCCGCTTCCGACACGCACCCAGCGTGCGGGCAGAGACCCTTGGTTCTGGCCCTCCGCTGCTGCGTTCTCGGGCACCTTGGTACCAGCTGGGTAGTGTTTTTGACTCCATGGAAGAGCCTTTCAAGGCCGATTCTATTTTCATAGGATCACAGTTCCTAAATCTTTTCAGGTTACATGACATTAGTCAGAAGGTCCCTAGCGTTATAGTTAAATATATATATATAGTTAAAAATAATGAAGATAAGAAAGTTTTTCACTAGGACTGGGGCGTGAACTTGGTCTTCTTGCCCAGGTAAATAGTGTCGTAAGGCACCCTGCCCGCCATGCTGTTTGCTGTGTTCTTTGCCTTCCATGCCACCTGGATTGTTCCTGGGGGAGATGTATGCGCAGTCCACCGTACTGGCCACACACATCCGTGAGCCGTGTGTAGGGGTTGGTGGGGGGGGGTACCCAAGCAAGGTTACCGGGGGCAGGTTTGCAAATTGCAAGAGGAAAAAACTAATAAGCATCGATTGACCATTGGAATAATCCAGGAGCTTCCCCTAAATTATACAAGCTGCAAGTTGGCAAATAAAAGGAAGACCCACTGCCTTCACCTCCCAGGTCAGAACTTTCGAAGATAGGTGGTCGGCTGGCATCTGAAGCACCACAGTCCAAATTGCTACTATCCCCTTGTTTATTCCCTTCCCACAGACCTGCAAAGATGATGCTCCCAAGGGTGGACACTCCCTCTGTTCTGCAGACCAACCCGTGGTCACCAAACACTTACTCTGCTTTCTTAATAGATGCAGTATTTTAAAATAATAATGTACACGTGTTTTATTACATATCTTCTAAAACATGCCCTAGAGTAAGAATATTAAAAGATCAAAATAAAGATGAAGTACATTTTTTTTTAAAGTAGGCTCCACACCCAGTGTGGAGCCCAACGTGGGGCCTCGACCCACGACCCTGAGATCAAGACCTAAGCTGAGATCAAGAGTCGGATGCTCAACTGACTGAGCACCCCAGGCGCCCCAAGATGAAGTACATTTTTCAAATCCTACTTTTTAGTGAATGTCATTGGCTCTCTAACTGGAAGAGATAATTGTCAAAGAGGTAGATTAAGACTGAAGAAGTGCATCCTTGATTGCCTTTATTAAATCATGACATTCATTTTCCAGTCCATTCACCTCGGATGCAAAGGTTTTAATTGAAATTCAACTAGTAAATTAACATTTGAAGTCAATTAGTCCTTGAATGGTTGGATGGTGTTGCATTTTATAATCTTAACAAATGGGTCCAAACCCACTAAGAAATTTCATTTAGATTTTTCGAACAGATTTTAAAATTCTGTTTCTTAGTTTTTCAAGCGTACAGACAAAAGTTTTAACAGCTGATGGGACACCTGCCAGGCTCTAGAGCATGCGGCTCACGATCTCGAGGTTGTGAGTTCGAGCCCCACGTTGGGCGTAGAGTTTACTTAATAAAAAAAAAAATTAAAAAAAGTTTTACAGGTGACACACACTGCTTTTGATAAATACATTTTAAAAATCATGATATTGGGAGCATTTGTAGTCATACATTTTCAAAATGTTTTCTCCATAGGTGTGACTTTCTCACTCATTAATAGACGGTCATGTTCACTTTGAAGGAACAGATTAAGGGGATTGTTTGTTTTTGAAAGTAAGCACTAGTACCCTCTTGCTGGCTAATCCTCAACACAGGACCTTGTAAAGTAAAAATGTGTATCTCCTCTATGTTCGGTATCTCTTGTTGGGACTTTCCCTGGAGATAAGCAGTGAATCTCTGCAGAGCAAGGATTTTCATGGTCATTCTCCCTGTCTTTACCAAGAATTGTCAAGTTTGTAGCAATTAACAGGCTCGTTTTTGTCTGGCAGATGGCATCGCATTATAAAGAAAATGAATGTCTGAACCGTGTGCAGCATGACTGCTGGTTCCTGGAAACATGTCACTCACGGCCCGGGACAGATGACTTCCGAAACACGGGCCCAGAGAGGGGGCTAGGTCGGCCCGTATGTCAAAGAAGGGTATTAGTAGTAAAGCTTAGACAATTATTTTTGCTCTAGTTAAATACTACTCTGCGTGCATTCTTCAGTGTTTTCCTCGTGCACACCTAAGCATCTCTTTGTACGTTCCACTTTGAAGTCTGTGGGGCAGGGGGTGGCTTTAGCGGGATAGAGTTCCCTAAAGTTAACTGAAGCAAATTTTAAGTCTCGGTTTAGAAAAAAGACATAGATTAGATTGGGCACAAGACAGACTCTGTGGTAGGAAGCTGGAAGCAGCGGTTGGTTAATGGAAAGAGCATTAGACTAGGAGTCCAAAGAAGTGAGTTTGGGGGGTGGTGGTGTATCCCTTTTTAGGTCCAGGACCTGCTGTGTGCAGGTTGTAATGACTAAATAAGACCAAGCACAGGCTCTGTGAACTCTAGAGCGCAGGATAGAAAAATCAGGATAAACATGAAGAAGTGATGTCCTGAATTGACATAGTCCTTTGAACTTTTTTTTCCCACAGAACTCTATTAAGAAATGAGTCCTTGTCTCTGCCCAACATCCTGGGGGATGGGCAGGATACTAGTTGTTATGTTACGTTCGTTCATTTACACTTAAGGAAACTATGGCGCAGACGGGTTTTAGGTGATTTGCATGAAATTTCATTAATTGCTAGTTTGGAACAAGAATTCATACCTCCTCATTTTTAGGTGGGAGAAGCAAAGGAAAACCACAGGTGTGGTCAGCTTCTACTTGCTGGGAGGGCTTCTAGAAACTTAATATTTAACTGAATAGCTGAGGGAGAGCAGTGATACAGAACCTGGAGTGGCTCGGAGGGAGAGTTCCAGAGAAACGGCTTCTCATTCATGGGCAGGCATCCCCAGTCCCAAACTGGTGTGTCCTGGAGAATGGCGGCTCCAGGTTGCAGCCATTCTCCTTCTGGAGACAGGCCCAGTAGGACGACATCACCGTGGGAGGCAGAGTGCTGCCGTTTTTCTTGCAGACTTTTCTCCCTCTTCAACCTTTGTCCATTGGAAAGGGGATGTGGACAGGCTTGCTTAATTAAGGTATTGTTAGCCCTAAGGCTGATTTTCAGCCGATTTAGATTTCTCTAGAATGCTTCTGGGTAGCCAGAAGAACCAATATTAACCCTGTGTCACAGAGATCGTTTCACTGTCACTCAGAATATTCTGTTCCTTCGACCTGATGGGTTCCCAATAATATTTTAATATGAAGAAATAATAATACCCAAAACACGTGTAGTGCTTACTTTGTAAACACCATTCTAAACAAACAGCAAATATTAACCACTGGATCCTCTCGAGCAACCTTCTGAGGCAGTAACTATTACCGCCATTTTCAGGTGGGAAACCGAGTCCCAGAGAGGTAAAATGACTTGCTCAGGGTCACAGAGCTGGAACCCAGGCGGTCTGGCTCCAGAGTCTGCTTCTCTGTCACCCGGACCGCCTTGATGATGTAGGCATGGAGCCGGCACTGGAGGAAAAGATAAATCCAAAGAACAAAGCAGAGGCAGAAGCTTCTCGGGAAGATGGAGGAGTACGGGCTTACAGTGAAGAGACTGGCGAGGGTGTTGCTGGATGGGGAGGCCCGCCTGGCATGGTCCTCTGGCCCATGGGGCAGTGACCGGCAGATCTTACCTGCATGCTCTCAGTTCTGTTGGCCCTTGAGACGTGACCCCCAGAAACTTGCCCTCTCGTCACTTGTGAAGATCTCAAGGCATTTAGTGGAGAAGGGGCTTCTCCCCTTACCTCCCACTGAGGGGACGGCTGCATTGCCTATGGGGTCACCTCCTGGGTGTGCACCCCAGCCTCCCAAGCTTGGTACCTTGCTGTCTGTGGT